TTATATGCTTTTTGGGTCCCTAAGAAAACAGAGCAAGCTGCACGGAAAGAATGCAGTCTGCCGGAGGTCTGAGTTTGATGAGAACTTCGGCCAACAAAGCGTGCATGCAAAACACCCTAATACAGGGGCCTTGTTGATTTCACTCGGTGTTGGGGGCATATTGCAGTATAAATTTACCAGGTGGGTCGGAGGAACAGTCTTACTAGTTGTCAGGGGCTTGCTTCTCGAGGGAGATGCAGCTACTGCTACTGCACGGCTACGGCTATGGCAACTTCTACTGCTTCTGGCTACAAAACTCCTACTGCTGCTCCTGCTGCTACTCCTGCTGCAACTCCTGCTCCTCCTACTACTACTACTACTTCTACTATTGCTGCTGTTCCTCCTACTACTACTACTACTACTACTACTACTACCACCACTACTATCACTTCTACCACTACCACGGCAGCGACTACTAGTACTACGACGACGACCACGACCCACGAAGCCGACTACCAATTGCACCTCCTCTTCCAGCCAGTGCATGCGACCAGTGAGGACTTCTTGCAACCGGCCTCAATGGCTAAAGATGGCGGAGGTTCGGGGTTTCGACTCTCACACTCGCACGCAGCAGGCAACCGGGGTTTAGGCTTCGGGGCGTCAGGGGGTTCTACGCCTTTATGCCTGTAGCTATGGGGTTGTAGGATTTAGGATGAGGTTCGGACTGAGGCCTTGAGGCAGGTTTGAGAAGTTGGGAGTGTGGGTCGTGTTTGTGTTTGAACATCTCTTTTCTGTCTCGCATGATGCCTGGGTAGGGTGCTTGAGGTTAGGGTCCTTGGGGTTTCGGTGGCTTTACTTACCGCCTCCGATGACCTCATCTGTTTGTATCCCGAAACATAAACCAACGCGAAACTGCCAGGAAAACGGTGTAGACAAGCCTCTAAACCCCTAGGAGGAGTGGCCTTCTCCGGGTTAACAATCCCTACTGGTGCTCGGGCGACCCAGCCCAGACCCTCAAACCTTTCTCCCCTGCCTGCCTCGAAACTTCCAAACCCGAACCCCTAAACCCTGAACGGTAAACCCGCCCCTAATCTCCAAAAAGACTTCATAAAACCCAGAGCCCCAAACCCTTAAGCCACCCTAAACCCTAAACCCTAAACTTAAGCCGAGACGACCACCAACAAATAAACAAAAACAGCGACTCGAAACCTTCGTTCGTTGCGCCTGCGAGTCGCTGAAGCTGTCCAGAGGATGTGCTCCTATCCGCGGAGCGCGCGGTCCCGTTTTCCAGGCTTTTGGTACGGTTTTGAGTGTAGGGTCTGAGGGCCTTAGGGTAGGGTTCCGGGCTTAAGGTTGATTCCGGGTGTCGGTGCGGAGGTATGCAGGGTTTATGTAGGCTTTAGGGATTGGGGGTTCGACGGCTCATTGGCAGCACAAGGGCGGTAGCCTAAAATCAGCACTTCGTGTGAAGGCGGATACCTGACTGTGTGGTCGACAGCACGATGCCCACATATGCTGGATATGGAGCGGTACAGTACGAGCATTGGCCTTTGCAAGTGCTCCTTGGCAACCCCCCCTCTCGCGAGATGCACTTTGCGCACCTTGTCTTAACCCATCAGTCAGTTCCATATGTATGATGCTACCACAAGTAGCAGCGCAAGCTCCCACACACACACACACTTCTATGTGTAATAACATAACAACTTACAATATAAAGTGTATGGAAAGAACAAAAGCGCAGAAACCATGAAACCACACCCTCATCCCTAAAATCGAATCCTTAAACAACTCAGTTAAACAACCAACTGAGCGGAGATCAGATCTCCTCCGGCACGATATCTATACCACCTAAACTTACTTAGGCTTAAATTTAGGGTTTAGGGTTTAGGGTTTCCTAAGCTTAAAGCAAGAGGCCGACATTCCTGTACCCCTGCTGCGCCTTGCCTCCCTACCAAGGAAACCCTTGGCTACAAAAACCGACAACCCTTGACCGTGCGCCAACCCTCCTGAGGTTTAGGTTGTGGTCATCCTTAGCAAGGGAACCCCAGAAATCCAGGAAACCTTCAGGCTCGGATTTCTGATGTGTTTGTTCCGGTTTTGGAAGGCTTTAGTGGGGAGTTAGAAAGCTTTCTCTTGTCTACGGCGTCTATTGCCTAGACTTAGAAGTGACCAAGGGAAAAGTACAGCGTCTATTGCACAATGGTTCCTGTAAGGAAGCCCGAAACCACAAACCTTAAAGCTTGCAAGCAGAGCCCATGTCTCCTCTGGCTGATGAGGTTCTGAATGCCTAGGCCAGAACAGCGTTTGGGGCTTTGAGTTCAGGGTTTAGGGGTTTTGGGGTTTAGGATGGCTGCTCAGCAGCTGGGCTTTAAGTAGGGTCGCCCTAGGACTCAAAGGGTCCTTATCTGCAGCCTTTGCTGCTCTAAAGTTGTCAGCTGCGAGCCGTAAGCCATGGCCTCTCAAGTCACGTAAGAAACATCGTTTTTGTAACCCGGAAGCTGCTTCATGTCAGGAATCCGAGTAGAAATACCCCAAACCCCAAGACCCTAAACCCTAAACCCTGAACCCTAAACCCTAAACCCCCTAAACACGTAAGTATGGAGTGCTTCGAGCTTTGTCTTTGGCTGAGGTCTCGGGTTAGGCTCCTAAACCTACCTTAGCTATGGTCGTTGCAAGGAGGTTCGTCTTTGAGGTGCTGTAGGGGCCTTAATAATTAGGATAGGGTCTGGGGTATATCATACTATTTTTATAATAAGGAGCCGCCAAAACCCTATTCTAATTTTTAATTCTTAAGGACGTAAAAAGTGGGGCTTTAGAGTTTCGCAGAACTCGTGTTGAGGTGCTGCACGCCCGTGATAAGTGACGCCGCCCAGCCCAGGAGGGCCTTATAGTGTGGATGCCAATCAAATCAGAGGGTTTAGGGTTTAGTGTTTAGGGTTTAAGGTATAGTGTAGGGGCCTGAATAATTAGAATAGGGTTTTTTTTTGGGGGGGGGGTATACTATACTATATTTATAATAAGGAGCCCAAAATACTATTGATAATTATCTCGGCCGCTATATTATGGGTCAAGGGGAAGCCTCAAGTAAGTTTGAGAGGGTAGCTCGGACAGTCAAGTAGGATCGACCTGGCGCCCATTAGGCCTAAACCCTAAACCCTAGACCCTAAACCCTAAACCAGCAACTCGCGAACAAAAACACATAGCAGACCAGCAAAGCAGCTTCGAAGCCGATAAGCAAGACTAAGACTCGGAAAGACCGTCGTGAACTGAACCCTAAATTTTCGAACCCCTGAACTCGAAAATCCTGAATCCTAGAACTCGAAACCCCCCCCGAAAAAGCTACCTCCCTACCCCTCTACGATCAAAAGCCGGGCGGCAGTAAACCGTGAATCGGGCCGCCCCCGTCTCGCCGTACGGCTTCTCCACTAGCATCTGGAGATCCAGCTCCTGACGCCCGTAAGGGAAGGAAGGGCGTCTGACATACTGAATACTGGCTGAACAGCCCGGCCCACAAAAGTTAGAACTTTTGAACCGGATGTGAGGCATCAGTCGCACATGTTTGCATTGAACATGAACTACATCACATTCCTTTCCAAACCCTCAACGGTTGAAGGTTTAGGATTTTGGGTTTATAAAGCCCAAACCCTACACCCGAATTCCTACCACCCCAACAAGCTTAATTACCAGCCTTACCACGTGCCCAACAGTGATTCTAACCGAAACCCTAAACCCTAAACTCTAAACCCTATAACCCTAAACTCTAAACCCTAAACCCTAAACCCTAAACTCTAAACCCTAAACCCTAAACCCTAAATCCCTACACCCAAACAGATTGGGCTCTCCGGGTGCTCGGCCCGAAAGAGTCGTCGTAGTTGGCCCGGAGAGGGGCTCTCGGGTTGCTGCTGTTCTGTGGAGTTTGGGTTTAGGGTTTAGGGTTTAGGGTTTAGGGTTTAGGGTTTAGGGTTTAGGGTTTAGGGAACTCCTCGTCCTGGGCCTAAATAAACCCTTAAAGGAGCCCTTACAAAGGAGCCCTTACAAAGGAGCCCTTAAAGGAGCCCTAAACAAACCCATAAGGGAGCCCTTATAAAGGAGCCCTTCTACAGGAGCCCTTACATGAACCCTTAAAGGAGCCTTGAAAAGGAGCCCTTACAGGCCCATAAGCCCCTATAAACTCTAAGCCCCAAGCCCTAAACTCTGCACCAATCCCGCACCTCCCCTCCCTTTTTCTCGAAACACTAGGGTTTAGGGTTTAGGGTTTCGGGTTTAGGGTCTAAACCCTAGAACCCTGAAACCCTGCACTAAACTCCCGAAATCTGGGACAAGGGCCGTGAGTTCTAGGACTTAGGGGTTTTGTTTAAAGGGTGTTTGCAGGTCATGGATCTCTGGCTAAAGAGATTCTAAAAATTGCTCACTCGCATGGGATTTTGTAGCACGGGATTCATGATAGAATTGAGGACAAGTTGGGCGGTTAGGTGTTTTTACAAGTTAAGGCGTATGTAGAACCTTTACAAGTTTTTAGTAGGGTCCTAAAGGGATCTGAGTGGTGCTTAAGCTTTGAAAGTCGGCTGAGGATGGCCGGAAAGTTACTTTGCACATGGGTAATTAACGTCCCCAATATACTAAAGAAAAAAAACTAACCACATGTCCTGTTGTGCCGTTTTGGGCAGAAGAGAGAGTATACCTCTAAAGCCCAAGCTTGACTTTGCAAAAAGTGCAAGTACGACCGACCTTAACAAACTATAGAAACTAGAATGTCTATTCCTCCAAACTGTAAGTAGGTGGGGCCCCCTACAACCTGAATTAGAATTCCTGAACCCAAAGCCCAAAGCCCTACACCTTTGAAATAGTGGGTGTTATACCCACTGCAAGCCCTACACCTTTGAAATAGGGGTGTTATACTTACCCAGTGCATAGTCGGAAATGGGAGCTTCCGAAAATTAAGGGGTACCTTATTTTGGGGTCCTTATAATAAGGATCCTACTTTTTAGGGTACTATATTAGGGTCCCCTATTTTCTGAAACCCCCAAATTGGACGCTGGCCTGGATGGAGGATTGCAACCGTTCGGTCTGCGCCGAGGTGTGGGCCCAAATGCCGAAAAGGCTGAAGACCAGCACCTGGGCTCCGTAGCTCCTTAAAGGTTACCCATAGGCCCCATAGTGGTTCCTTTTTGGGATTACCTTATAGGATTCTAAACATGAACCCCAAGAAGGAACTACTATGGAGCCTATGGGTAAAGATGATGAGCAGGTGTCATAAAGCTGCTAGAAGAGGTTGCGGACGTGTCATTAAGGATTGCAGAAGGAGGGTTACACCGCGTTGTGTAAAGGCTTATTTTGGATTGCTTTTTGATTTTGTGGGCTTACGATGATCTACAGAGGATTTTAGACACCGTGACAGTCCAACACCTTTCTTTACAGATACGGGAAGATGCACTCTTGGGGGTGCTCCAGGGCTTGAGGGTAATGGAAACGCACGTTTCAGATCGTTAAATCGAAATTAAAGGCTTCGAGGGTCCAGGGTAGCGTTTGGGCTTTGGCTCCCGAGCTACTCCTGACTACGAAGACGAACACACCATCAAAGTTTGTACCTTGGCGAGCTTTCATGTTTTGAGTGGCATGAAATACCCCAACCCCCCAGGTACCTGCTATATAGGGTACTAGAGCCCCTAAGGCCCCTTATAGTAGGTACCTGGGGGGTTAGGGACAAGCAGACAAGGAGCAAGACCCTAAAACCCTAAACCCTAAACTAAACAGACAAGGAGCAATGATAATGTCCGCGAGACAGCCGAAGACGGACTTGATCTCGCCAAGCTGTAGGAGCCTTCGATTCACAGGGCACATACCGTCGTGCTTTGGGGTGTAAGGGGTTTAGGGTTTAGAGTTTAGGGTTTAAGGGTTAAGGGTTTAGGGTGTAAGATGTGGGGTTTAGGGGTTTAGGGTTTAAGGGTTTAGGGGTTTAAGGGTTTGGGGTTTGTAAGCTGTCGGGGTGAGGCTGCAAGATTTGGGCTCATTGCGAGTTACGCGTTCTGGAGCTGGCAACCTCCTATGAACAAGGCCCCCGTACAGGTCAATAAGTCTCGCATGCCGGGTGTAAACCCCCCAGCCCTGATAGGCCGTAAGCAGTGCCTTCAATGAAAGGGCATTCTTCTTCCTCTTTCTCAGCCTTGAATGGTGGCCCCGTAACAAGAAAAGGAAAGCAAAGCACGACGTAGTAACCAAAGCCCAACTAACAAGCACTACAAAACAGAAACTAGAGATTCGGGATGAAGGGAAATGTTCAAGAGGCTCTGGTTACCGTAAGCTCTAGACAGAATACAATAGTAGATGATGGATGATCTCACCGGGATCCCTTGACAATCCCTAAGCAAACCCAAGCACGAACCCACCTTGATTCACACCCATTTAGCCCGAGGTTATGTCGTGCCAGGTGCAGATTCCGTAGTTCAGGGCTATTGGGCTCTCTTCACCCTCCGATGCTCCGTCTGAAACCCTACAAAACCCCTCGGATGAAACTCCTACGAACACCGTTGTAGATCTTCTGTGAATAAATGTTAAAACCTAAACCCTAATACAGGGGCCTTAGTAATCAGAATAGGGTTTTGGGGCCCCGTTTTTCCTATACTTAGGAACTCCCCCAAAAATAGTATTGGTAATTATCCAGGTCCCTATATGAAGCCCGTGCAGTAGAGTGGCGGCGAGTCGTGCAAGCCTATGAAGATGAAGCCGAACCTCGGGCCGGGAAGCTTTGGGTTTCGTGACTTCAACTAAACTTGGCCGAGATCTTTGAACCGAACCCTAATGACGAGCCTAGGAACTACAGTACATCCTAAACTGCAGTCGGACGACCGGTTTTAATATTATCACCCTTACTTCTCTGCTACCCCCCAAAAAGTGAAAGTTGAAGATTTCAGAATCAAGGGTTTAAGGTTTCGGGATTGAGGGCCTCTAGGGTAAGCGAAAACCTCTAAACCCTAATCAGAATGTTGAGCTGAGCTTTGTCCGTCGGTTTCTATAGGCCGTGAGACTTCGAGAACTCAAGCAGTTTAGGGTTTTTTGACACTCACACTCGGACAAACCCTAGTAGTTTAGGGTTTAGGGGCTTTGGGTTTATGGAGGGATTAGGCTTGAGGGAAGAGCGCGGCTCCCACAACCAAGTGGGTAGTTCTCTAAATTCGGGTTTCTGTGGGGGTCCTTTCGATAAGGGTGCCGTACTATTTTGGGGACCGGAACAGGGACCCTAACTTAGAAAACTACCCCAGTGCTCAACTTGCCTTGCGAACGCTCTGGGGGCCCCTACCAGCCGTACATGCACGCCCAGAAGATCATCTCCTCGGCAGCTGGGCTTCGGGTCTCCGGCGGCTTAGGGCTCAGGGGTTTAGGGCTTAGGGTTCAGGGGGTTAGGGTTCAAGGGGGTTAGGGTTCAGGGGTTTAGGGTTTAGGGGCTTAGGGTTTAGGGGTGCAAATTTCGTCGAAAACCTGCATTCGCGCTCCCTCGTTTGGAAGACCCGACCTGTTGAGGCTGCAACTGAGTAGGTGGTTCAGAATGTAGCATAAGCCTTTTTGTGGTCTTCATCGTCATTATGAGGGTCCTACATTGAAATCATTCAATTACTGTTCTGGTATTCAAGAAAAAGGGGGGGCTCCTGCTTTCAGCTCTTCCAAAAGAAGGTCACGGATCCATCAGAAGTCCTATACTGAAAGGGCCTCCATTAAAAACGCAACTCAGCGTCGGCAGGGCCTCTGTGAACACATGAACTGGCGTGCTACAGTACAAGGGGCGAAAATGTGTTGCGGGATTTCCACTTGCAGCTACCAGTCAGTTGCAACCTTTAACAGGAAAAAGACGTACAACAATTACAACAACACTCATATCAGTCGTTAGACTGATAACTGTTAGTATGCCGCATGAGCTTCAGTACCAGCAAGATCAGTGACGAATGAACACGAAAGGGGACCCACCGCCCCTGTCGAGACCATGACGACATGATGAACGACTCTGATGAAGGAGGATCTAAATACGCTCAAGCCTTGCCACTGATAGACCCTCTCATTGCGCTGATCAGAAGCATATGGTGGACTAGGTATGCTAAGCACAAGAGAGATCAGCCGTGAGAACAGTGGCACAAGGATCGTGTCAAGCACCCGCGACATAGCAAGTGTGTGGGAAGCTAACAGCAAACAAGACTTATAGACAGGAGTCTCGAAAAGAAAGGCCTTCCACGGGCCTTGCACAGCGTGCCCCTACATTTCAGCCAAAATACAGCAATCCCTAGACCCTTTACCCTTTCTTCCAGAGAAGTATGTAGCTCAATGTCCACCTACGTATCCATCCATCCACGCATCTGTTCATCTATCCTTCTTTCCTTCCTTGCTTCCTTCCTTCCTTGCAAAAGAATCGATCCACCCATCCATCCACATCCATCATGCATTCATGCATCCATACGTTCTTACATATCTTACATAACATAAGATCACCTTCTACATTGCATTACGCTACATTACGTTGCAGCGCATTGCATACATACATACATACATACATGCATGCATACATACATATGCTTATTACTTGTTCTTGCCGCCTTTGGTTGATTTGCGTTCTTTTGCCTTGCCCAGCCGCAGTGATCTCGCGATGGAGCACGGATCGCTCATTGGTGTAGTACAAGAGCAGCACTGTCCTTGGATGAGCAATTTAGGGTTTCAGGTGCCCTCAGCCCTAAAACTTGGGCCCTGGTAGTTTGTTTACCCATAGGCCTCCTTTTTGGGATTACCTTATAGGATTCTAAACATGAACCCCGAGAAGGAACTACTTTAGGGCCTCTGGGTAAAAGTACGTTATAGCTTATTAGGGTTTAGGTGTTGCGGGCCGAGGCAGCTGCGAAGATCACGTTGTCCAATCTCTCTACACCCTGAACGCGAACCCTGGCCAAATAGTAACTACAATAGTAGTTCCTTTTTGGGGTTCATATTTAGAATCCTCTAAGGTAATCCCAAAAAGGAACTACTACAGGGCCTCTGGGTAACCTCACAATAAGCTTCCATCCCCAGACCCCCAAAATCAACGTAACTGTAGACTTGGAACCCCTACTAGATCGGTAATGTTAAAGACCTCCCGGTAGTGGAACCCTGGTTAGGTCTTTTACTGGTAAAGTCCCTAGACCCTAAACCCTAAACCCCTAACCCTAAACCCTAAATCCCCCCACACTTTCCATGCCAGCGCACACTGCCAAGTTGACGCGGCCATAGACGGAGAAGCCTGGGGTTCACAGCTCTGAGACATCAGACTGATGCTTTCTATGGTCGTTTAGGGTTGACCTGGACCCTAAATAATCTACCTTCAAAAATAATATATATATATATATAATAAGGACCCTTAAAAGGTAGGTTCTTTAGGGTCCAGGTAGGGCTTAGGGCATTTAGGTGTACCAGTACAGATTAGTGCAGTGTAGTACACTGTATATGGTCTAGTCCAGTCTAACCTCGTCCCGTCTAGTCTGGTAAAGTCTAGTAAAACATAGCCGGGTACAGCACAGTATAGTATGGTATAGTACAGTATGGTCTAGTAGTTCAGGGGTTCAAGGTCCGAGAGTTTATGGCTGCTCAGATCCGACCTTCTTCGAATCCCTCTGCCGTCAGATCAAACAGAACACGGTTCAACCTAAACCCTTTTTTTCACAAGGGACTCGTCTGCTGCCCTTACTGCCCAGCTTGACCCACAAGACAGTACTCATGGCTGTGATGCGAGACCGGCCACTTCGTGGCTCCAAGCTTCAGGCTCAACCTAAACCCTCAAAAAGAACCCTATTTGGGGCACATGGACCCTTAGGGATAGTTCCTCCATCTTCAGACTCCAACATAGGGTTTCCGAAAAAAGGGGACCCTAATATGGTACCCTAAATAGTAGGATCCTTACTATAAGGACACCAAAATAAGACATCCCTGATTTTCGGAAACTCCCACATCAATACCAGAAAAAACGAGAGAGTCGGATTCCATGGTCGAGGACTCAAGGATTCAGTTTCCCAAAGTGCCTGCAGACTGGCTAAGAAGAATAGAAATGCCACAAAAAGATGGCCTAAAAAACTCTCACTATACCATTTTAGGGCTCCTTTCTTAGAGTTCCAGCATAATACACCTAAAAACCTAGCTCCAAAGAACCCCTGCCTGTGATGGGATCGACAACTCGGTTGGGAAACGACACTCCAATGGACGACAGTAATTACCTTGCGGCATTAAATAGTAATCATCGTCAAAATAACATTGCTACGAATGACAAGAGAAACCAACATGGGTCTGCTCGATTGCACGGCCCTTCGGTTCAAGACCCCCTCTCCTGTACCCTTAACCTTAAAGCCTTTTTGCAACGGCCTTGTCAGATCTCGACCGTAAAGCCTAAACCTCAAACCCTACACCCTAAGCATTATGAGCCTTAAACCCCTCTTGATTCATCCAGCCTCGTTCTCCCAGGACCCCTACACCGACGCAGAACCTCCGCGATCCCCTGCACAAACTCCCCAAGAGTCATGCCCTCGCGCTTAATTCGAAGTCATCAGGGCTCAAGCTCAGGAGGGTTTAGGATTTAAGGGTTTCGGGCCGTTTAGGGTTTAGGGTTTAGGGGTTTAGGGTTTCTTCTGTGGCTTTCTGCCCAGCCGCTCAATAAGCCACCCAAGCTCACGATCTTCAGGAGGAGGTCCAACATGGCTCCAAGCCAGTCTGATATAGGGGCCTTGCTAATTAGAATAGGGTTTTGGGCTCCTTTATAGAATAAATATAACAAGGAACCTAAGGAATAACATTAGTAATTATTGCCTCTATAGTAAAACGTGTCGTTCGTTGGATCGATGTTGGCAAAGCTCTGAGCCCCATGCCCTTCTTTGGGAGGCGTGTCCCGTTCTTTTGTCTGCCCGTGGTAGTAACTGCTCGCAGCCTCTAGAGCGAAGCAGATCATGCAATGAAAGGATCTTTCGTCTTGCAATTATCGGGTCGAATTCTGTAAGTGCATGGCCTCTACGTTTGCAGCATTGCTCCGATAGGCCCTGCATGACGGCTTTTTCTTGCTGGTCAGTCTGACTGGGCGGAACAGGTGCTCAACACCAGGCCACCGCAGCTCGGGGGTGGGCAGCGGGCTCTGTCCGCGGCTTAGAGTAGGGCCCTGCGTACCGCTTTACCGAAGTTGGCCCCTGCCCTTGCCCCCCAACTGCCTACAGCACCAGTTTGGATGCTTGGTGGCCTAGTGCCTTTGAGCCGGAGAGGTTGGGGGGACTGCAGCGCAACAGGTATTCGAGAAACGGCATACGAAGGTTTAGGGCACGAGCGTGCAATCTCTATAGGCACCAAGTCGAGCAAGTCAGGCATGTTGGACTCTGGTGGCTTCTCTGGCATTCCATGTTTTCCACTAGAGTCTGAACCAGAACGACTTTAAAGAACATAGGCTTGGTCAAAAACACCTACACGGCCCTGCAAAGACACAGTTCCTGTCAGAACTGGGGCGGAAGAGAAGGTATGAGGTACACGTAGCACGACGTGCACTAATAGTCTGTGCGAATTCGGAAGCGCAGGGGACAGCGTATCGTGTGTTCAAAGTGCTTCAGCACCCCTGGGGAAGCGCATGGAGAGCCCCACAAGTATCCCGAAGCTCTATACACACCTGCAAGAGCCCACAACTCCTAAACCCTACAGTAAACCGAGCTGAAGAATCAAGGATAAGGCCTAATTTAGACTCTCCCTGACGCCTCCATACACAGTTACTGAATAACATCTGGAAAGTTACAGCCTTTCGAACCTTCGTGAATGCCCCTCCATACAGAATTGCAGCAATGTCTAAGCCCTACAAAGTAAACTTGAACCCTTCCGATCAGTAAGCAAATCCCAAACCGCAACATAGTAGATCATGTAGGATGCCTATTCGAAGACACCAGAGTACAGCACTACAATACTCCAAAGTTGAGAGAGCCCCCGAATTGGCAACTCGGCTTCTCTAGGACTCTAGGAACCCTTTAATTGAGCCCCTAAGAACCCTTGCCGAAGGATTGTCATGTTGAGGCCGCCTTACTTCAAACGGGCCGAGGCCGTGAAGGTAGACCTGCCGCAGTGTCCGGAGATGGACATTTGTGGTTAGAGTTGAGGGTTCAGGGCTTCGGTGAGTTTAGGAAGATTAAGGTTTCAGATGTGGTAAGTTCGGGTACCCTTAACATCAACATAGCCCAAAAGCCTTACATAATAGGGCCTTTGGGCCCAAAGGCCTTAAGATATGAGGCCTTTGAGGGTAAGGGGCAGTTTTGGGGTTGAAAGTATCGGAATTCGGTTTTAGAGTTGTGGAGTTTCGCGTGTCAGGCGTCAGGCTTCCCATCTATGGTTGGGGGTAGAGGGTTTTTTTTTTTGAACGCCTTTTTCCGTCCGCCTAATGGAGTCCGAAACTTCAAGATTTGAAGAGGCGCCGCGGCTACTCACAGGCTTCACGTACACCCTTGCCTTGTTCCACACTCACAGGCCACCGTCCACATCCGGATCCATCTGGGTCCCACGCGACCCTCCACCAACATCATCTTCACGGTGTGTTGCTTCGTCCCGGTGCACTGTCACCCCCAGGTTGTCCATTGTGTCACCACCAGGGTCCCGCACAGCTGCGTACTGGGCCTCCATTAACTCCAGAACGTCCGGGCCGTACTGCAACCTGACCGCCTCGCTCGACAGCTGACCCATCTCCCACTGCCCATAGAGGCGCGAGAACCGCGCATAGTCCATATCCATGTGCTCCTGGCCCTCCGTCCCGCGGTTGTCCACCACATTCAGCCCCTCCTGGGGCTCGTCCGCTGGCTGGTGCGGCTCCCGTCCATCATCCACAGCCGGCGGGTCCACGATGACCGTTGCCATGTCGCTCTCGGAGACTTCGTCCACCATCACAGCCCGAAGCTTCAGGGTAAGGGCTCCCTGCTCCGGCACCGTGTTTAGGGTTTAGGGTTTAGGGTTTAAGGTTTAGGGTTTAGGGTTTATAGGGTTTAAAGTTTAAGGTTTAGGGTTTAGGGTTTAGGGTTTAGGGTTGAAGGCCTCACTTGAGGGGACGAGGAGGCGTATTCATAGGGTTCGGGCTTTTTACAAGGCATACAGGGTTTAGGAGGCTTCCATGGTTTAGGTTTTATAGGATTCTGGGTTCAGGGTTTAGGGTTACGTAGGGTTTAGGGTTTAGGGCTTTGGGCTTAGGGTTTTGGGTTGTGAGTGTAGGGGTATTTGTGGAATGCCCCAAAAAAACCGGCCTCATACGAAAACTGAACCATCTGCTCAGCGAAACAACAGGGGCCCCGTCGGCAACCGGGCACATCGACAAGCAGCCCTAAACCCTAACCCTAAACTCCTAATCCCTCTGCTTGGCTTCCCCGACGCGCTCGGCGGGCGTGGGAAGGAGCTCCACCGGGATCTGCAGGCTGCGACCCAAGGCTTAACAGCTCTGCGGGTAATGTTTAATATGGAGGCCTTGATAACGAGATTAGGGTTTTGCGGCCCATTATACTATAATTAGAATAAAGAACCCCCAAAATAGCATAGGTACTTATTTAGGCCTATTACGTTTTTTCTGGGTTTCGCTTCAGGGCTTTAGGGCTTCCGGTGTTTGGGACCCCAGGATTTTTTAGGGCTTTCCTGCAGGTCTTCCAGCAGGATTTTGTTCGGAAAGAAACCCCAAACCCTAAACCCAAAAATTATGTACAATCTAGAAACAGCACCCTATCAACCCGAGACAACCCACAAACCCCATAAACCCCTAAAGCCTAAGCCCGAAAAGCCTATAAACCCTAACCCGCTAAAAGCTTTAAACCCGAAACTCCTCAGATTTCAACGCTGAGAGCTTCAGATGTGACTTGCAGCGGCGAAGAGCAGCTTCGAGAACAGTTCCCGAGAATCAAAAATAATCTAAAGGGCCGATATGTCTCTATATTTCATCTATGTTTTATATAGTGTCTGAAAAATCAAAACAAAAACAAATGGCCGATATCCGCAACAACGCAAAACCCAAATAGGACATCAAAAAGACTTTCAATACGCAATGAAGTGTTGGTAGAGGTTCAATGCCTTGCTCAGCTCGTGTTTGCCATGTAGTTTAAAGGTATGGAGCCCAGATAGAGTTTTAAATGGGCTGCCAAAACATACTGAAGCTGCTACAGATCGTAGATAGAGCAAGTCTGAGCTGGTAATGTCACGCTTTTCTTCCGTATAGCAGGGGGCATGGTTGTTATTGTGATGCGCGGAGTAGTGTTCAGGCGA